GTAGTCATATAATATAATTATATTCTAAACATAGAGATTCTAACATTTGTTACATGTTACAAAAATATTAGAAAATAAAAATGATGCAAAAATTATTTTGTCTGTTGTTACTGTATGGCAAATTGATAAAAAGTATGTACCAAAATTGTTTTAAATGAATTTCTTAGGGATAGTAAATGAATTCATTACAGGTACTAAAGAATGATCAATGTAATCATAATGAACTGTAAATGAATTCTTTTAAATGGTCTTTCAGCAGCTCTCCCTACAAAAGTAATAAAAAGTTTCTTTAAAAGAATTCTTCAAGAATTCTTCGCGAACTCAAGATACATGACATAACCTGATGAAATTATGAATTCATTAAGAATTCATTCAGCTGATATCATGACAACCTGTAGAATTCATTAAAATATTCTGAATTCAAAATGAATTCATTTAGAATAAATAATGCCTGCTGGGATAACAACAGCATCTACTTTTTAATTGAAATCATAGGGCGGTAATCCTTCATGTATATTATTTGAAGTTTCTATTGGAAAATTTATGTTTATATTTTCATCAGTGGGATCACTACGTTTATAAATTGCATAATCTATGCTGTAATAAGTATGTTCTGTCCCTTTAATAAAATTCAAAATTTTGTTTATTTAAAATATACGAAAGTTCCTTATGAGTTCTTAGAATTACTTTGTTTAGGCAGCTATTTATACCATCCTCATAAATTTTGTTACACACGTTATCAGTTTTACATCCCTAGGAAATTTCAAAAGACTGTGATTCCGTGTCTAATGTCCATTAACAGTAATAAAAATTGTAAACTTGTACGCATATCATTTTTCAATTTTAAAATTTTAAAGTGTTTTCATGGAAATAAATACTTTATAGTTTCACCAATTATAGAACTTTAAGGACGATCTCCGAGACCAGTGCTTCTCAATCAAAATTGATGTAAGTTGAAAATCTCTTTTTCGTTGCTTGAGCAGACGATGCGCAGACACGTAAGAAACTTGGCGACACTGCAACATATTGCCACCGATCTTACTATATATGTGTACTCTGGCCATTAGGGTTAGGTGCCGCGAGGCGAGTGTAGAGACTTTCTGCTTGTGTTTACATTTACGATCAGGTTATGTATACGACAACAGAAATGCGTATTAAAGTAAGAAATTTAAAAAACAGTAGATTTGTGAAGAAAAAAGTGGTAATTAAAAACGCAAAAGCTTGTCAAACTATGAGAGTTTACTTGGGCAAATTTGAGTTGGGCTTTTCTTCGTGACCGTCGTCTGACTGTTCTGTTCTCAGTAAGTAACAGGATGTTGCAGTGTTGTCAAGTTACTTGGGGCGTCTGCTTCTCTCTCGGCGGAGGCCAGATGAGGTGTTATTAAAATTATTGTTACTCAATAATTAATATGGAAAGGCCTATAATACTTGTACTCATTTTTTTCCTTAGGAATTTGTTTATTACATAAAATTTTTTGGGAAAAATACTGCGAAAATTCGTTAAGTTATGTTCGAAAGTGCGCATTTTTTCGCCAAGATTATAGCTATAGACATACTGCACTGTTAAATCGACAATCTTTAAAACTGAATAGTTCGCAATTTAGTAAGGAAACACCTGTTGAAATTTTGCACACGTGTAAATAACACTTTTATTTCACACGTGTTTCGATTTCAGCAAATTCTTACGAAAACTACTATACTCGGAGATCGTCCTTAACACCCATGATTTATTATTGGAAGTATCTGTCTAAAATCGCCTCCTAAAATGAGTAATTTTCCAGTGAATGGGAAATTATTATGACATAAATCTTCCGAAGTCTTATCCACTATTTCCAAAGCTTTTTCAAGAATCATTGAAGCTTCATCTCAAATAATTACATTTACTTCTCGCAATTTTTTTTATCAGTTTCGTATTTAAAAAACGAACTTTCAATGTTGTTTAAATATAATAGTAACGAAATGTTTTATGAATTGTCATACCTGTAAGTAATAAAACTGAAGCAATTCCCGTCTAAGTCATAGATATAAAATTTTTCTTTTTTACAAAAAATAAAAAATAAATGTTTTACACGGAAATACTATTCCAGAAACTTCTGGACCACCAATAAAATTATTAATAATTTCTTAATATAATGAGATTTCTTTCTTAATATAATTAGATTTTATTTACCGAGCGGCGTTGGTTCAGTAGTAAGCACGCTTGTTACTGATACAACGCTGTTCTAGGGGTTGTGGGTTTGATTCCCGGTGAATGTAGATTTTTTCGAAAACTGTTTTCATCGGGAAAAGTTCCTATGTAACCCCGGCTGTTTTGAGGCAGGTTTTTCCATGGAATTTTTCTTTAGAGTAATTCCATAGATTTTTCCTTGCCCCACAGTTTTTTGGGCCTGAGTGAATGCGAAATAGTGTTTAGGAGGTAGGGATCAGCGGATCCGATGCAACAGGCAGGGATCGCCGGCCTTACCGGTGAAGAGTGGTCCCTGAAACATGGGGCTTCTCCGGGGATGCTAATTAGTCTAGATCCGATGCTTCGGCAGAGAGTGCTGGCTTAACCGGCAAGGAGTGAAATAAGGAGTCCTGAAATATGGAGTCCTCTCCGGGGAATAGCTACACAGTGGCGAGTGGACCAGGTGCACCATCGGTGCAGAGAGTGTCATCTTAACTGGCAAGGTGTTTCATCGAAGAAACTAACACTATGACCATGGATTCAGGTATGATATCAGTAAAAAGGGTTGAAAATGGGTGCGGCATTACACCCCCACACAGGTGATGAGGGGGTGGCCCTGGTGGATAGGCTGGTAGGCTGTCGTGGTAACCCGGTAAAAAAAATAGATTTTATTTTATTATTTGGTTACAGTAATCTATAATTCTTACATGATTTTTCTAAGAGCTTCAACGGCTCAGTGGTGAGCGTCCTAGCCTTATAGCTGGAGATACTTGAGGGGTCGTGGGTTCGAAGCCCGAGGGGAGACCAGATGAGGGACCTCAAAGATATAAGGGGGGGGGGAGTGAGATGGTTGGATACTGAATTTGATCTCAACTATATAATACATAAGAAGAATTAGAAGATTCGATACATATAATAAATATAAACAATTGAATCATAATGGGTAGTTGGATGGGGGACCAGAAGGGCGGCCTCTAAATTTTGTGGGGTGTCGAGGGGGGGGGGGTTGATAAGCGGCAAGGCGTTCTGGAAAAAATAGGATATTTTTCATTGGGTTAAAATAACAAGGGAGAAACATTAAGGTTTTTACTTTACTTTGAGGGGGTGCTCGAAAAATATTCCAAAATTTTGAGGGGGTCGATGGGGGCTAGAGACTAAATTTGGTCTTACAACTATGTTATATAAGATATACGTGTGTGTGTTATAATTTTGTACCGTTAAAAATTGTAATTTTTTTTACTAAAATTTTCTTTATGGGCGTTATCTTGCTTTTTCATTTTTATGTCAAGAAGAACGAAAGATTATGTAGCAGTATTTCTTTATAACTAGGAAAAATTTGATTACTTAACATTAAAAATTGTTATCTTGGATTTTGAAAAGGCCTTGAGAAAAGCTATAAAAACTGTGTATGATGAAATTTTGATTAGCGGATGTTGTTTTTATATAACACAAGTTAGTATATAAACGTAAAAACCATTCTATCGAAAATAAGACGCATATTGTCAACGAAGAATTAATGAGGCTCTAATATAGTGAGATTTATTGAGAATTTTATCAGAGAAAGATAATAAATTAGATATATGAATCAAGTGCAACTGAGCTTTTCGTCTTTTATTTGTAAATTATGATCCCTTCTACTAAAATTCGGCTTTACTCGTATTTTAGAAAGAGTAAAAAAAGAACATCTTTAAATGTCCAAAAGTTGCACTATAAAAGCTTTCTCATTCAAGTAAAATTGATTAAAATGTGTATATATATATATGTAACTTTTGTATGACTGAGGTGTAGCTTACGCCTACAATAATTAATATTTCCAATTTCAATTATTTAGGTATTCCGAAATGCGAAGAAAAAAGGAGCTGTGATCGTAAAAAACAAACAAAACAATATAATGAAAAACATGATTATCTAAAGGGATTAATAGCATAAGCATTTTTACCCAGCTAGTTGATTAAAGATAAAGAATTGAAACAGGATTGAAAGAAAGAATTTGACAACTACTTTGATGTCTTCGTTGAATATTTTGAAGCAGAATGGATGTGTTAAATGAAGTGTATTTTTATTGAATTGTATAGAAATAAAAAATGAACAATAATGAAACACTGTACAGAGAGCTTTTTTTTCCTTGACACCAGATCAGATTCTTTTTTTTCTTAACCGCTGGCAGCACACTCTCTTCACAGTGTGTGCATGCTGCTGCCGCTACTGTCTGATAGAAAAACGATAATGCTCGGGCCGTGAGGTGCAAGATTTAAATTGAACAATCCGTCCACCTTGTTCCAGGAGCGATTCAGAACTTCAGACACCGCCCATCGAATGCGGCTCGTTCACATCGTTGGTATTATGTTGGACTATCGGCTAGGATAAGGGTGGGATGGATCTCAAAAACAAAAATATATTTTGAGCTGATTATTTGTTAATACGCATATATAGCATTTATACTTTCATCCTCTATACAAATGTATGAGAGAAATAGCCCTTCTTTTTAATAATAAATTTTTGGATTCTACGTCGGAAAATCCCCAACGGATCAAATTTTCAAGTTCTTGGCAAATTGACTTAGATTTGATTAACACGATTTTTTATGAAATCATTGGAAAGCTGGAGCGTTAAGCTTTAATTTCTACTTTTTTGCATTCTCTACGATAAATATTAAGAAAGATATTATTAATTCAAAAGCCTGTTTTTAAAGGGCACGCGTGGACACCCATGTGGGGTACGGATGAGCCCGGGTAGTTTGAGCGACGGTAGTGACGACTGCGCCACATTTATATATAAATATATCAGTTCCCTGCTGTCAGCTGTCGTTTGTGAAAATTGTAGGTTGAGGTTCGATGTTTTTGTTGCTGTTTCGTGAATTAGAGTAATTTGTAGGTAGCTTACAGTTAGTAAATATAAGTAATTAGGTATTATAGTGCACAATTACCGTGCTAAATCCAAAAAGCGTTCTTGAACTGATGGGGGTGCGTTTTTAAGAGTCTTTTGTGCTCTCGGTAGAAATAATAGTGTAAGTCACAGTAGTGCCATACATCTGGGGCCATTTTGCAGCCCGAGGGTCCTGCGAAGCAGGGAAAACGTAAGGTAGCCCAGGAAGCGATGGCATTTTTATGACCAAAACTACTACTTCAGCCAATAATACATAATACTTATGTATTTTATAATTTTATAAGAGATCATGCTATTTAGAAAATTTCTTATAAAACCTCGTTAAATAATATTCACGTTCAGTATTACTTGAACACGATTTTCCATTCTATTTTCTTAATTATATACGCACAATGTATTTTTTCTATTTTTCGTACACACATAAGCCCGCGCCCAGCGGTGCCTAACCCCCTGCTCACTCGTACCTTCTAATGAGGAACGAGTGAGCTCTTTTGATAGCCTTCGTTGTCAAATTATTAAAACCTAAATATGTTGAGAATCCGATTTAAAAAGTATGGCAAACTAGAGTTAAGGTGATCATCTTCAAATTTACATATTTGTCAATAGTAAAACACTAAAACTCTTCATCACAATCAGTTAATCACAAGAAGAGTCACCCAACCCCATGTTTTCCTACTGGTCTTGATGGTAGCCGCTCGAACCCGCTCGAACCAAGCTATCGTGACCAGTGTGAACGGTGATGATACGCCAATGCGTCAATCGGTCGATGCAGTCAGTAGACGTCTTGGAACCGATGATAGAATGAAGAGGGCCTCCGACAAGAAGGTGACCAGGGGTGAGGACTTCGAGATCGTTTCAGCGGTGACAGATAAAGGAGTAAGTGGCTGATTATTGAGTACCATCTTGATGCTGGCAAGGACAGTAGAAAGTTCTTCAAACGTCAAGTTCCTATAGCCATGGTACGTCGGAGATGACCTTTGACCGATTTTATTCCAGCCTCCTAGAATCCTCAAAAATGTTGAGCACGGGGGGGGGGAATAAAGTTCCACGTGATTTCTTGTTTGGCAAGATGGCTGGTCTCAAGGTCCCAGCGAAGCTCTGCCTGTTAAAGCGCTTCGCGCAATTTGCAGTCTGCACCACAAAAACAAGTACCAGAGATAAGTAGGAAGATTGCCAGTGCCTATGCTAAAGAGTGTGCCGATGTTTCGGCGCTGATTTGAGCGCTAATCCATGGTGGCCAGCAGAGCAACTATGCATACGTTTTCTATTGGCTGGCGGCTCAAAGGCTCAGCTCGCGGGGGAGCTGATGGGAGATGGGTGAGTGAGTCTAAATTAGCTTATGACTAGAAACTAAATATTTACAAATATAAACGATATGTTATCGATGTTTAACGATTCGTAATTTATTATTTTTAGTGATAAACTTATTATCTAAATCGTGCCTTTCTTTTCTAACGCGAACAATCTGTGATTGTAACATTTCTTGCTTTTATCTAACCATTCAGGAAATCTCTGATTCGTGTATTTTTCGATTATTTCTTTCAAAGTTATAAACAATTTTCTTTGATGCCGAACACTCGCGTGGTGTTCATTAAAAGCATGCAATTAGAAACTAATTATTTTAACAAAGTAGTCACTTGCTCTGGTTAAATAACTGACGCTGGGCAAATTCTGATTTGAATGAAGATACTCCTTTTTTTCTAAATATTTTTCGTTGTCACTTACATATAATTCTTACACACAACCAGAACACCTATTTTTCATTAGCAACGCTTTTTATACATAGCCACTGAGAAATGTAATGGAATTTTGTTCAAATAAGAGTTTTTCTTTGGAATCTGGCACTGTGAAAGAATTGATGGGTACAAATAATTGCATTATTTCAGTAACGTTTAAAAGCTCATTGATTTCATCAGCTTTAGCAGAGTTATATTCAGGCAAGATTGCACTTTCTTCTTCGCGTGGATTGAGATTTTTATCATAATTTCGTTGTTTACTGTTATCAGTTGTACCTATTCATGTTGTTTCATTTATATTCAGAGTTTTGGCACTTAATGAAACCGATGAGTGAGTTTCATTTAAAATAACGTTACCTCGCTTACTGGTACCAATATTATCAGTTGATAAGACGTGTCTAAAACTTAAAAGATACATGGTGCGAGTAGGATTAAAATTAAAACCGCATCTTTCTAGAGCATGTTCAACGTTATCTTGGTTGCAGAGACCTGTCACGAGCGCAAAATTAGGAAAATCTGTATTTAAATCTTTATAAAGTAAAGTTAAAGCTCTTACTATTTGCGGTAAACCAGTAAAAGAAGGCGGCCTCGAGCGTCTCATATAAGTTTAACCTGCAGAAATTTTAGTTACGACCACAGTATACCATTTTTCAGACCAATCAATAAATGAATTTAAGCGTTCCAGGAGATCTGGATTGTCATTAGAAAAAGGGCGTTTATGTTTGTCAACTCTGCGCAAAAAGTAACTGTTGCATGCATCTATTATACACAGCATCTAAACGTCTCGATAAATTTTACAGATTTTGCCGCGGTATCAGATGCCTACCCATAAGGATCCTGCGAAGCAGTATGAACAGCAGCACCATCTAATAAATCTCATCTGAGATCTCTCAGGTGACCATCTCATGCCAAATACTCACCTGAGATCTCAGCTAAGATTTATTAAAAAATTTTTATACTAAAAACCGTTAAAAATTGTAATTTTTTTTACTAAAATTTTCTTTATGGGCGTTATCTTGCTTTTTCATTTTTATGTCAAGAAGAACGAAAGATTATGTAGCAGTATTTCTTTATAACTAGGAAAAATTTGATTACTTAACATTAAAAATTGTTATCTTGGATTTTGAAAAGGCCTTGAGAAAAGCTATAAAAACTGTGTATGATGAAATTTTGATTAGCGGATGTTGTTTTTATATAACACAAGTTAGTATATAAACGTAAAAACCATTCTATCGAAAATAAGACGCATATTGTCAACGAAGAATTAATGAGGCTCTAATATAGTGAGATTTATTGAGAATTTTATCAGAGAAAGATAATAAATTAGATATATGAATCAAGTGCAACTGAGCTTTTCGTCTTTTATTTGTAAATTATGATCCCTTCTACTAAAATTCGGCTTTACTCGTATTTTAGAAAGAGTAAAAAAAGAACATCTTTAAATGTCCAAAAGTTGCACTATAAAAGCTTTCTCATTCAAGTAAAATTGATTAAAATGTGTATATATATATATGTAACTTTTGTATGACTGAGGTGTAGCTTACGCCTACAATAATTAATATTTCCAATTTCAATTATTTAGGTATTCCGAAATGCGAAGAAAAAAGGAGCTGTGATCGTAAAAAACAAACAAAACAATATAATGAAAAACATGATTATCTAAAGGGATTAATAGCATAAGCATTTTTACCCAGCTAGTTGATTAAAGATAAAGAATTGAAACAGGATTGAAAGAAAGAATTTGACAACTACTTTGATGTCTTCGTTGAATATTTTGAAGCAGAATGGATGTGTTAAATGAAGTGTATTTTTATTGAATTGTATAGAAATAAAAAATGAACAATAATGAAACACTGTACAGAGAGCTTTTTTTTCCTTGACACCAGATCAGATTCTTTTTTTTCTTAACCGCTGGCAGCACACTCTCTTCACAGTGTGTGCATGCTGCTGCCGCTACTGTCTGATAGAAAAACGATAATGCTCGGGCCGTGAGGTGCAAGATTTAAATTGAACAATCCGTCCACCTTGTTCCAGGAGCGATTCAGAACTTCAGACACCGCCCATCGAATGCGGCTCGTTCACATCGTTGGTATTATGTTGGACTATCGGCTAGGATAAGGGTGGGATGGATCTCAAAAACAAAAATATATTTTGAGCTGATTATTTGTTAATACGCATATATAGCATTTATACTTTCATCCTCTATACAAATGTATGAGAGAAATAGCCCTTCTTTTTAATAATAAATTTTTGGATTCTACGTCGGAAAATCCCCAACGGATCAAATTTTCAAGTTCTTGGCAAATTGACTTAGATTTGATTAACACGATTTTTTATGAAATCATTGGAAAGCTGGAGCGTTAAGCTTTAATTTCTACTTTTTTGCATTCTCTACGATAAATATTAAGAAAGATATTATTAATTCAAAAGCCTGTTTTTAAAGGGCACGCGTGGAC